AACTCCGAGTCGCTGCTCCCACCTCACCAGTCTCCCCTTCCCACGCCGCCCGGGGCAGCTTTGCAGGGAAAACGAGCTCACGCTGATGTACTGAGGAGCAGGGAACCAAGAGTTGCATGTCAAACGACGGCAGCGCTCTAGCACCCAGCCTGACCAGCCGGGTACTGGTAACTTACACCCCCAAACCCCTCCGGTTTATTGCAGCCGGGCTTGGCTGTCCTGCATTGGCGAGACGAGTCCCATGCTGCGAGGGCAGAGTCTGGGCCCCCTGCCCCCAGCGAGCCAGTCTCTTCTCCACCCTGCTGGCAGCTTGCCCCGGGTGCCTCTGTCTCGTCCGTTTCCATCTGTCAATCGGCACCGACTTAGACCGGCCTCCGCTGTGGCGTGGACGATACCCCACGCGCAGGAGCGGGGAGAGGGAAGCACCTTGTGTCTCCCGCCGGACTAGGGATGGACTTGTGCAGCCGATTAACCGATAAGCACAAGTGTGTAGGTTAACGCTATAGACTACATGCATCCCCTCCCCCCTTGCTGGTAAGGAGAGTTCCCCAGGCCAGCGAGCCAGAGGGGAGGGAGGAGGACGCCCGGGCCAAGGGGTGCAGGGCTGGGAGGGGCTAGGGATGTAATCGTGGAGGCAACGAACCGAGTCACCGAGAAGCGAAAGTGGACAGGTTCAGGCGACAGACCACACGCATTTCCCCGGCTTGCCAGGACATATTTCAGCAGGCTGGCCAGCAGCCTAGATCCTGGGACCTACCCCCGCTGCAGCCCTGCATTTCCAGGGTATTAGGAGCCGGGCGGGCAGGCAGCCTGGCTCGCGCTGGGTTCGGGAGCAAGGCCTCCACCCCACTCCCGGACAGGGGCTGCTGCCACCCTGCAGTGCTATCTCTGTATCAGAGGCAATAGCATGGGGCAACAGGAGCTGGCCCACGAGGGGAGCTGTTTTTTAAACTGGCTCTCCTTGCAGACCAGCTCCCACATGACACCCTGCACTGCTGCCTCTGATACAGAAGGAGGAATATAATATTTAAAATGAAATCTCATAACTTCTTATCTTGTTAACCCTGTGATAGTGAAATAATCCTTTCCACATGGCTTGCCTGGGCATCAGTTGTACTTCTGATTTTGCAATTTCTTTATAGGTTCAGTCAACGCTAGGATCCCACAGGGATGGTGACCTTCATTTTCTATATCTGGATTTGAAGGCGCAACATTCCAATTTCTGTTGGACTTGTCAGCTGAGTGCTCAGATTTTTTGCTGCTTCCATTAGTATCCAATAGATGGCATTAGTGTGGAACAAATTTGTTCAGTCACATTCTTATAGGACATTATGTCAATTTCCCCTTTTTAATCAGTTTATTTTAATTCATAGTTTTGTCATATTAAGGTGTCTATCTTAATGTTCTTGTTCCTTCTTATATCAGACAATTCAGCACGTTTCACGCTGATTGTGTGGCCTCTGGGTTATTGTCTCTTCCTGGAGCCCTTGTGCCACCCTTGTAGGAACTTCCCTTGCACGCATCTGAGCCAGAGGATCCCTGCCCGGCTCTGCACTTGCCGTGCCCACTGCCAGTTGGCAGGAAGCGGTTCCTGGCTCTCAAACCCGGGTTGTGTGTTTGGGAAACAGATTCCTTCGGGTGTGCGCAAGGGCCCTCTCTGAGACAGGACTGCTGGGGATCTGTGCCAGCCCATTGCCAGGCATCTGGTAACCTGCTGGCATGGCGCCGGGGCAGCTGCCCGCAGGCCGCAGATGGCCCGTCGGGATACCGGGTGTGGCCACGAGGCGTCGTGTTTGCTGTCACCCAGGCACAGGGCAGCAGATTCCACTGGTTTCTGTCTGCGTCGGTTTTTCCTCCCAGTGTTACTAGTGACCCATGTGCAAAGCCAGGGCCCGGGGCATGCGGTGCGTTCCAGCTGCACACACTGCTTGTGGGAGCCATGCGCTCCCCCACGTCCCATCCCTGCTCTGCTCCGCCGCCGCCAATCCTTTGTCCCCCGTGCAGGCCGCGCCATGGCCCAGGCGGAGAAGAAGGGCGGGCTGCTCTGGAAATCGTCAGCCTCCAAGAAACCCTTGAAAGAGAAAGTGGTGCTAATGTACGACGAGATCTTCCTGGTAAGGACGGGGCCCCTTCCTCTGCACGGCGTGGCCCGGTTTGGTCCCCGTGGCTTGGGGGGGGCGCCCCGTGCAGGCCGCGCCATGGCCCAGGCGGAGAAGAAGGGCGGGCTGCTCTGGAAATCGTCAGCCTCCAAGAAACCCTTGAAAGAGAAAGTGGTGCTAATGTACGACGAGATCTTCCTGGTAAGGACGGGGCCCCTTCCTCTGCACGGCGTGGCCCGGTTTGGTCCCCGTGGCTTGGGGGGGGCGCCCCGTGCAGGCCGCGCCATGGCCCAGGCGGAGAAGAAGGGCGGGCTGCTCTGGAAATCGTCAGCCTCCAAGAAACCCTTGAAAGAGAAAGTGGTGCTAATGTACGACGAGATCTTCCTGGTAAGGACGGGGCCCCTTCCTCTGCACGGCGTGGCCCGGTTTGGTCCCCGTGGCTTGGGGGGGGCGCCCCGGGGGGGGGTCCCCGGCCTGAGACAGGAACCCGCGAGGCAGCAGCACGTCGGTCCCAGCCAGGCTGCGCCACGCCCGTCCCAAACCACGCGTC